GATAATAAAATTGGCCGTGGAAAATGCAAGTGCAGACTGTGAAAAAATATTACAGTCGATGCCAGGAAGAGTGACGCTAGTAGATATGATAGAGGCCTGTAACAAAGTTGGGTCTTTGGAACATAAAACTACATTAATGGCCAATACTTTTGCTGTAGCCATGTGAATGGATACAAAAAATGTTAAGAAATGCTATAAATGTGGACAACCGGGCCATTTGCAATTTCAGTGTAAAGAGGGGCGAAACAAAGTAGAAGTTGGGCCTAATATATGCCCTCGTTGTCATAAAGGGAGACATTATGCTAACCAATGTAGATCTCGTTTCACAAAGAAAGGTGTAGCTCTGCCACCTCGAGGTACCCCATCGCCGGGAAACTACAAGAAGAGTGCGAGGAGCGGTGCGATGACCCCAACAGCTCCAAAAGGATTCTAGAACGGTGCCAAGAAGGATGTCTGGCAGAATTGCCAGCCCGAACTGCTGGAAGTGCCGGAGTGGATGTCTCAACAATAGAAACCATTCTACTATGGAACTCTCGGGTACACCGTGTGCCAGTAAACGCACAAGGACCATTAGGTAATGGGCTTAGTGCCCTGTTGTTGGGACGGTCTAGTATAACATTACAAGGAATTTTTGTGCTTCCCGGGGCGATTGATGCGGACTACACAGGTCTCATTTATGCTATGATTTGGACACCGTCTCCACCAGTATCGATACAGGAAGGAAGCAAAATTGCACAGCTAGTCCCTTTTAAAGCAAATGTACCATGTAAGGTTAATCAACAGCGTGGCAATGCAGGGTTTGGATCTACGGGATTAGAAGCTCAAATTATGTGGTCAATGGAGATCAATAAAACAAAACCTAGTATATCAGTAGAGTTACAAAATGCAAAGAACAGGCCAGAAAAAATAAAATTACAAGAATTAGTGAATACTGGAGCAGATGTAACAGTTCTGTCGTGCGAGGACTGGCCTGTCACTTGGGAGCATTCTGAGATGGATTCGAAACTGTTCGGTGTGGGAGGATTATCAAAAACTCGACAAAACAAATATATGATTCAATTGATTTGTCAAATTTTAGTTCATTATATCAAACCTTATGTAACCAATATCCCTATGAACCTGATAGGCAGGGATGCATTAAGTCAAATGGGATGTGTGCTTAGTACAGGAGACAATTTTGTGGCGTGGCCATTGACGGGCGACCATGCCTAAAGCTGAAATGGAAAACAGAGGAACCGGTTTGGGTAGATCAATGGCCGCTGACTGAATCTAAGGTCGCCATCTTGAAACAGTTAGTACAGGAGCAATTGGATCAAGAGCACTTGGTGAATACCACGAGCCCTTGGAATACACCAGTTTTTGTCATTCCAAAAAAATCTGGGAAATGGAGACTATTGCATGATTTAAGAAAAATAAATGAAGTAAT